GGGGGGGGGGGGGGGGTTGGAGTTTCGGGGTGCTTATGACCCCTTTTTTTGCAGTAAAAGGATCCAATTAACTAAGATGAAACAACCTAACATTAAGAGGCTGATGTGGAATCTCCTGCTGGAAAATGATACCTACGCCCCATAGGCTGGGCGAAGAATTTTCAAATTCCTAAACGCGTGTCGGAAATGAGAAATGCGATTTTTGTTGAGAAGCTTTAGTAGCTTCAGAAGAAGATTAGTCTTACAGCATCCAGTTAGTTATCGGTATTCTTACCATGTAATTGCAGGAAAGGTTTAACCGATAAACTGTTAATAAATTGGTTTTTTAAATATTCTAGGTTTTATTCAGCTGCTTTGTAAAGTAAAACTAAGACGATTCGTCAGAGTTTTTGAAGATCAAAGAAGACTCACGCCACGACAAACGGACAAGCTCTCACTGAATAGAGGGTAAGTTGGGATAGAAACTGTGGTGCTGTGTCGGCGGAGGGTGTTACAAGATAACTTGGTTTAATTTATCAGCTGAGTTGATATTGTGAATTGGCCACCCTTAATCCTTTAACTCCCAGAAGTGATTAACATGAAACTTCTCCCTAAAATATCCATACATATATCTAGCAAACAGGTAATAAGAATATTCAAATTTCTCAGCTAAAAGTCGCTTTCTTGATCTAACACCAAATTCTTGTACCTGATTTGCAAGGACATGTGTAGCAGCTAGAGGGGAGAATTAACATTAAGATCTTGGGAGTTAAAGGGTTAAGAGTGTCTAAAGTTGACATTTCGGTGGATTCGCTCTGAATCAAATTTTCTCGATTACCTTTATTGCATGTTTATTAGCCTTTGATTGGACTCGTCACGCAACAGGCCTTAAAAGAAAGATGTTACTTGCGTGACAAGACGAAGAGGACTAGCGGAGATTCCACGCGTGAAACCTGACATTCATGGGGTGGGGTGGGGTGGGATTTGGGAATGGGTGGGCTGAAATTTTACAATCTAACATCAGCATGCATATTCTCCTTACTGTTCTCTATCAATTTCCTATTGTGCTGACGAGGAGAATTTGCCTAACAATTCTGAGCTACGTGCGTTACTTGGCGATCATTTCCTTCATTCCCGTGACCTAAATGTTTGATACAGAGGCGATGTTGTGGGAGAAATTAGATTGTCACTCGTAAAGATCAAAGGCTTTAAAAAACTAGCTTGAAAGGTGTTTGGTATGCGGCAGTAATGGTAACATTATCCTTATGAACAACTTGAAGATAGATAGCTTAATGTTTCCAATTTGTTTCCATTTAGCAGAAGCAATGGAGAGAATCTATTTCTTGGCTTTAACGCTCAGCTTTGTCACGGCAAAAGCAGGTAAATGTTGATATTTCAAATGAATTCAGGATATTTTTTAAAAAAATGGAGGAACGTATGCTGGAGAATTTTGCTATAGTTTTGATCACTGGAGAAGTAACAGTGTGAAATTATTCATCACTACCCACAAACATCTGTATGACCCAAGGTATGACTTTCCCCAAGGGTACAAGATCACAAAAACTGGTGTTACCACGTCCTCATAACTCAAGCGATGTTGAAGTCTGTTATTCAGTAAGCCATTAGATTTAAAATGAATTACATGCAAACATTGCAGCATAGCCTCGGCTGTGAATGTCAATCAATCTCAAACAATGTGGAAAGTGAAAAATTGTTGAAGAAAAACTAAAGAATTTATTTGCGCTCATTCACTCCGATACAAATTGCATACGAAGATATTTTATCATTCTTACGAATTTTCACCGGTAAAAATAGTCTTTAAGTATTCAATATTATCCAACTGCACAAAGTAGAGTACAAATTACGCGCGAATAGAGTACAAATATCCTGCGATATTGTTCGATTATTTGAACTGTTGGTTATTTTGTACTGTAGAAAAACCTGTTTAACCAGTCGGCTGCGCGCGCTAGGCTCCTCTATCAGCTTTGCTTTCCCCGCCTTATGAGAAATGAACAGAAAGACTTGGCAGAAAAATAAGCAGTTGGATAACAAATAACTAATTAAACGTTTTGGTGTGTAGTATCGCTGAGTATTTTTACGAGTTATGCCGTAGTTTTAAGAGTTGTGCCTAACCCTAATCCTAACCCTAGGCAAAACGTCTGATAGGATATACTTAGCTACATTTTCGTTTTCAGTCGCTGAGCCGAACTGTCTGTGGAGAGTACTTAATAAGCGAACTTTACTTCTCTTTCAGTCGCAAGCCGGCGTCCACCCGAGATCACGAATTTCATACAAAAGGATTTAGTCAACCCAGATGATGTTGAATCTAAAGGGTTTAAACTGCCTTGTGGAGCCGCAGGGACAAATCTTTCATGGACGTGGAAACATAATGATACAGAGCTCACATCGTTCAGGGGATCACCGCATTATTCTCTCAATAAAGATGGCACTTTGATTGGCAAATATTTATCTTCCCAACACAGCGGGACTTATCAGTGTATTGTTAAGGATAAGGACACTAAAATTGAAGTATTCAGTAGAAAAGCGAGAGTCGCTATAACAGGTAAATCTTTTTAAAAGATGAGCAAACGAGATCAGATTAAGACAATTTTTTTTTTAAACAGATCGGATTGGCTATCAAGTTACAAAACAGCTTAACACTTGGCTACTCTTCTTTCTATCCTCTAAGCCTGCATAGCAGCCCTTTCTGTTTCTTTCAAATGAAACGGGAAAAATTCGCAGTCACGTGGCTTGTGCAGTAGTAGAGGTTCATTACCGTTCTATCCATCCTAGGGTTGTGCTCCTTAGGCCACCCCACAGCGTAGTGCTTACATATTACTTAAGTATCTTGATTCTTGGATATTTCGAAAATGCCGCTTCCTCGTTCTTTCTTTTTTTTTCTTTTTTTTTTCTCGATACTTTGTCAAAAGGGAACCTTAGTAGCTGAGATTGATTCAGACGAGAGGGAAACATTTTTGTTTTTAGCACGAGAATACATCCGAAGTGATGATAGCTCTGTTTCGAGTGTTCTGAACATTAAAATTTCATTTTAAAGGCCAAATTCAGTGATATGTGTCATCAAGAGAATATAAACTGTATATTCTCTTGGCGTCATATCATACTGCAAAACCTGCGATAAACAACGCGATTTCTTATACCAGAAGAAAGATGACGTAACAAGATATCTAAAACTTCATCATCTGGAACCGTTTCTCATTTTTCTTGGAACTTTGAAAAAAATGGAACTCATTCTTCTTTTACTGAGATTTTGTTGATATTTCCTTGAATTTTTACCTATTACAATACGTGCACTGTTCTTTGATCTTTACTGATCTGATGATGATCAAGAGAAGCAAAGAGAAGCCCTCGTACTTAATCATAATTCATATTCTTCGATAGAGAGCTTTTCAGTTGGGTGCCCCGATTGGTTTTAGATATGCACTTCAATGGTTTGGAGCGTGGCGTGAAGTTTCTAGTCCAATCGCAGAGTAAGGTGGAGCGCTGAGCAAAACCAGTGCATTGCCAGATTACTTCAGTTCGACATTCGATTAAAATTCGCTTCATTTCAGTGAATTTAACTTGTCATTAACCCTTAACACCCTAAAATCAGTATGCGTATTTTCTATACTGCTCTTTATACATTTCCTAAGGTGCTGACAAGGAGATATTGTTAACCAATCAAAAGTTTCTTTCGTTGGTGATCATTTCCTTTATTCTCATGACCATAATGTGTGATTCAGGGGTTATATTGTATGAAGAAATTTGATGCTAGTCTCTCTTAGGGTTTAGAGGGTTAAAATATTTCATTTCTTTCAATCTTTGTCAGCTCATGGTGAATTCATCGATAGCAGCAGCAAGAGTGTAGCGGTTGACCTTGGAAAGCCTTTCCGATTTCAGTGTCCCAAACACACAGCGGGCTTTGGCACTTCATACGCTTGGGTAAAACCATCAAATATCCACTTGTCGAGGAGCGAACGACGAGGATTATCTCCAGACGGGACTTTGTTAATCGCTTACCTCACCCAGGAGGATATCGACGAGGTTAACTACGGTGGCATAAAGTGTCAAATAAGCGCTGGGAGTAGCTACGAAGATTCTGGAAAATTACGTCTTGTGAAGAAGAACCCTCAACAGAAAGGTAGAGAATAGGCGCGTACTTGCGGACACGTGGCTGACGAATGGTGATTGTTAAGAAAACTATTAGTTTGAATGATTGATATCAGTCACGGCGCTATATGCTTTACCGTAAATGTGGACCGATCTTGCGTATGTTATCGCAGCGTTATTTCATTCAAGATCTTTTTTCGTGAAGTTTTGGTTTTATCAACTGAGTTCGAAACGCTCGAAACGTCAGCTTTGAAACTCTTTACATTGGCTAGTTTACATTATCAACTCAGTTGATACGTAACCAAATTATCTTGCTATACTCTCCCACTGATGCAGCATTACACTTTTGGAAACTTACCCCCTTTTCATAAAGTTTTATTTAGAATATCACGTAGCGGCAGATAATTAGTTAATTAGTGGAAAAGAAAATATCCTTTACCTCTTCA